TGACAGGGAATTGGAGCAGCTGTATCAGGACTGTGTTCTCCCTGGCAGCACTCATGAATGCTGGAATAATCTGGAGAAGCTGTGAGCTCGACTTTTAGAGTAAAGGATCAATTCGGTTGTTTTGGAGTTTCCATCAGATAATATGTACCAGCGAGACTTTAAAGGCAGAAACAACAATTACGAGTTCTGCCTGACCCAAACTGTGGCCTGTTTCATCACCCCTCCCTTCCCCAAGGCCATGGACATGTAACAGAACCTCAACAGAGCTGAAGATGAATGTCACCTCTTATCTGGACAATGGCTGAGGGGGGGCTCTGGACTATGCTACGACTTTCCCTTAAAAATTCTATGTTTTCACCGCCTATATGTAAATGTATAACGTCTGTTTATGTTGCTTTGCTGTGGTAGGTTTTTTTGATGCCTCAAATTGTCTGTCCTGCCTGTCTAGGACACGGTGTGAGAGATCTTTTTTTTTATACTGTCTCTCCTCATGTTTTCTTTCCTTTTCTTATCTAAGCAAAATATTATTCTGAATAAGAATAAGAAGGCCGTGCTAATTATTTATAGCCGCAGCTTCGTGCACTCTGCCCATCTTCGGACGACTGTACGTACATATTCGCGTTGTATCTCGGTGCAATGCCAATAAAGTTTATTCTGATTCTGATTCTTCATACACCAAAATTAGTCATGGAGTTCCTCAGGGCTCAGTGCTTGGGCCAATACTCTTTACTTTATATATGCTTCCATTAGGTAAAGTTATTAAACAGCATGGGATAAATTTTCATTGTTATGCTGATGACACACAATTATATTTGTCCATTAAACCCAATGAATCCAATCAGCTACTTAGACTACAAGCATGTCTTAAAGACATAAAAACCTGGATGACCCTTAATTTTCTCCTTTTGAACACAAACAAGACTGAGGTTTTGGTTTTTGGACCTGAGCACCTTAAGAATAAATTTTTCAGTTTTTCTCCCTCCTTAAATGGCATTAATCTGTCCTCCAGCTCTAATGTTAAAAATATTGGTGTTATTTTTGATCAGGACATGTCTTTTATCCCCCACATTAAAAACGTTACTAGAACTGCCTTCTTCCACCTGCGTAATATCACTAAAATTAGAAACATCTTATCTAAAAATGATGCAGAAAAACTGGTCCATGCATTTGTCATGTCTAGACTGGACTATTGCAATGGTTTATTATCTGGATGTCCAAATACTTCTTTAAAATGTCTTCAGTTGATCCCAAATGCTGCTGCCAGAGTCTTAACCAGAGTTAGTAGGAGACATCATATTTCTCCAGTTTTAGTTTCTCTCCATTGGCTCCCTGTCAAATTCAGAATAGAATTCAAAATCTTACTTCTAACCTACAAAGCTCTCAACAACCTGGCTCCATCTTATATTACAGATCTTATTGTTCCATATTTTACTAACAAGGGCAGCACGGTGGCGCAACTGGTAGAGCTGCTGCCTCTCAGCGAGCAGGTCCTTGGTTCAAACCCCGGTCCAGGGGCCTTTCTGGGTGGAGTTTGCATGTTCTCTCCGTGCATGCGTGGGTTTTCTCCAGGTCCTCCGGTTTCCTCCCACAGACCAAAAACATGCATGTTAGGCTGATTGGTAACTCTAAATTGTCCCTAGGTGTGAGTGAGAGAGTGAATGGTTGTTTGTCTCGTTTGTCTCTATGTGTCCCTGTGATGGACTTGCAACCCGTCCAGGGTGTACCCCGCCCCTCGCACAGTGATCGCTGGACATGGGCACCAGCGACCCCCGTGACCCAAAATGGAATAAGCGGGTAAAGAAAATGGATGGTTGGATGGATTTTCCTAACAGAGCACTTCGCTCTCAGGCTGCAGGTTTACTTGTGGTTCCTAGAATTTACAAAAACAGAATGGGAGGCAGATCTTTTTTTTATCAGACTCCTCTCTTGTGGAACCAACTTCCAATCTCTGTCCGTGAGGTTGACACATTATCCAGTTTTAAAACTAGGTTCAAGACTTTCCTTTTTGATAAATCCTAAAGTAAGGGTCGGCTTCGGTTTCCTGAGCTGTCCCTTAGTTATGTTGCTATAGGCTTAGACTGCTGGAGGACAAACTGACCACAATTTTCACTCTGCTACTGTCTTTACTTACTCTGCTCAACCTGTTTTGTATTTGTAATTATTTTTTCTATCCTTAACATGTGTTTTTTTTGTCTTTCAGATACACCTGGACCTTTACCTGGACCTATACATGGACCTACCATTCTGTGTTCGTCTGTCTCTCCTTCCTGTCCTCTCAACCAGCTGGTCAAAGCAGATGGCCGCTTGTCCTGAGCCTGGTTCTGCTGGAGGTTTCTTCCTTTTAAAAGGGAGTTTTTCTTTCCACTGTTGCCACTGTGCTTGCTCAGGATGGGAGACTGCAACAAAGCCAAGATTCAACTTGTCTGCTGGATTCCTTAGATAGAGAACTTTACTATCTGGCTTTTATGTATGTGAATGTTCCTGTAAAGTGCCCTGAGACAACTTTGTTGTGATTTGGCGCTATATAAATAAACTGAATTGAATTGAAATTGATTTGACCATTCAGTCTTACAGGGGACCAGATGTGGATCAATCACTGAAGGTTTGATGTCTCAGACAGTTTTCATGTAGGAGATATTAGCGTTTTGTTTTTATGGCGAGATGTCAAACTTTGAGGTCTGGCCCCGCCCCTTCAGCATGCTCCGAAACGAACTGTTTAGAAAACTTTGCGTCCCCCATGCCTTTTGACCAAAATGGCCAAGTTTGAAACAGATTGAGCGAAATCCCTAGGAGGAGTTCATTCAAATGCTGAGGCTGTAAACTGCCCAAAAGGTGTGAAAATTGTGCGGGCATTCCAAAACGGCTGCCTTCCTGTTTATTGTACAACGTTGGTGCCAGAGGGTTCTCTGTGCATCTTGGGGAGTTGGACAAGTGTACTAAATTTCATGTTTCTACGACAAACTAAGGTTAAGGCGGAGGGTATTTCGAAAATTTTTAGGTGGCGCTCTTGAGCCGTTTCTGTTGCGATTTTTGCCACGCGCTTAAAATACATAATTTTTCACCAGTCCTGATGCGTCCGCCAAATTTGGTGACTTTTGGGATATGCTAAGGCCCCCAAAACACCAATTCATTTGGCGGAAAAAATTGTAGCTCGGACCTGAACAGAACGATTACAATAGGCCTTCGCAGCGCTTTGCTGCTCGGGCCTAAAAAGTTCTATTTTGGTCTCATCTGACCACATAACTTTCTCCCATGACTCCTCTGAATCATCCAAATGGTCATGGACAAACTTAAGACGGGCCTGGACGTGTGCAGATTTAAGCAGGGGAACCTTCCGTGCCATGCATGATTTTAAACTATGACGTCTTAGTGTATTACCCACAGTAACCTTGGAACCAGTGGTGCCAGCTCTCTTCAGGTCATTGACCAGATCCTCCCGTGTAGTTCTGGGCTGATTCCTCACCTTTCTTAGGATCAATGATACGCCACGAGGTGAGATCTTGCATGGAGCCCCAGTCTGAGGGAGATTGACAGTCATGTTTAGCTTCTTCCATTTTCTAATAATTGATCCAATAGTTGATCTTTTTTCACCAAGCTGCTTGGCAATTGCCCCGTAGCCCTTTCCAGCCTTGTGGAGGTCTACAATTTAATTATTTTTTAACCTTTTATTTATACAGGTAGTCTCATTGAGCCACAAGAACTCATTTTCAAGAGAGACCTGTTTAGGGAGCAGAGGGGGGTTAAGGGCCTTGCTCATGGGCCCAGAGTGGGGCAAATGAGGGTCGGAGCAGGTGTGGGTGCTTTACCTACCCTACCCACATTTTTGATGTTGTCGGTACCGGGGCTTGAACCGGCAATCTTCCGATCACAGGCCCACCTTCTCTAACCTCTGCCACCACCACTCCCCCAATTTTGTCTCTGAGGTCGTTGGACAGCTCTTTGGTCTTAGCCATGTTAGTAGTTGGAGTCTTACTGACTGTGTGGGGTGGACCGGTGTCTTTATACAGCTAACGACCTCAAACAGGTGCTTCTAATTTAGAATAAGAAGTGGAGTGGAGGAGGACTAACAGGTCTTTGAGGGCCAGAATTATTGCTGATTGGCAGGTGTTCAAATACTTATTTGCAGCAGTAAAACACAAATAAATTATTAAAAAATCATACATTGTGATTTCCAGATTTATTATTTTTTGGATTGTGTGTGTGTGTGTGTGGCTGAGCCTTCCGGATCGAAGGTAAAACATTTCAGCACAAAAAATAAACTGTCCAGATGACCTGACTGAAAAATGTTGGATTGTATACCTGGATTATTGAGCATGGACTTTGTTGTTTTCAACCAGTTTGACACGACTGTCAACAAGGAAGAGGGCCGGCAATGGAGGAGGGGCGTACCAAAGAGACCATCTTAGCACCAACATTACTAGTTTGTTCCACTTTGGAGTAAACTGTTGGGGGAAGAATCAGTTTTGTGTTGTGTGTTTCCTTGACTGATGAAGCCTTCCGGATCGAAGGTGAAAAGTTTCAGCACAAAAAAGAAACTGTCCAGATGACCTGACTGAAAAATGTTGGATTTTGATTTATGATTTGTTGAAACAGCACAAAAACTGGGGGAGTAGTTAGATGCCGAAAAACGTATGGAAGAAAAATTGAATCCCAGTAGTATGCATTCACACAAATATAAACAGGATCGCTAGTGTGCATGCTTCTGTTGAAGCATTCACACACAATAAAGTTGACTTGAAACTTGTTCTTTAATCACTGTTAAATATAAAAACTTATTGTTCTACCAGCAGGGGGCGGTAGAGAATATCTGAACCCTCAAGAAAGGAAGCATTACCTCATACTCAAGCTTCGCAGTGTCAGTATTACATATCGTTTAAAAACATGACATGTAATATTACATGTTATATTGTTATATGATATAACAATTGTTATATAACATTACATAACTCGCCAGTGCCGTTGAAAACGACGGAAATGACGACACATTGTCATAGGTCAACAAGCCACAACTTCTTCCGGTGTTACTGGGGTCAGAGAGAGGGTGACAATCTTTCAAAATGCTCCTACGGGTGAGTACTAATATTTTATTTTATAATAAGAACTTGTCGTCAGTGAGAACAAGGTCACAACAACAGATTGTTGTCGGTGGCTGTTTGTTAGCTTAGCGGCTGTTTTAAGCTAGTTTGTGTCAGAATCACCGAGACTGGACTCGAGCAGAAGAAGTTCAGTCTACAACATTCATGTTTTTTAAGAATGTGTCGGTTCAAAGCATCAGAAAGTTGTCAAAGTGTGTTATTATTATTTGCATCTGCAGGTAAGTCGAGCAGCCAAAGTTTAAAGTTTTGTCTCGGCTCAAAACAGAAGTTGAACATATAACGAAATGATTTCTGGGTTATTTTCACGATAAATGCAGATTCCCATTATTATTCCAACCCAGTAAAGAAAGTTCATGACCGTACACACTGTCACCCCATGTAGCCCTCGTTTAAAAACCAAATTAATGCTCACGTGTTGTATTGTTTCTCTGTTTCCTTATAGCTTGAGTTTGATAGCAGCACATCTCAGAGGTTGTTCCAGGTTTAATAACACCCCCAAGCACCCCCTCCTTTAAAAACAGGGTGGGAACACCCTCAACCAAGAAGACCAGTTTCTAGAGGGAATGTTGTCCCATTCTGGTCTGGTGTAAGATTCAAGATGTTCAGCTGTAGGGCCTCATCTTTGGTTGATTTTCTGTTTTGTGATTCATCACATGTAGTTTATGAGAGATCAGGACTGCAGGCAGGTCAGTTCAGCACCTGGACTCTTCCGCTACACAGCCGTGTTGTTGTAAATGCAGCATGCAGGTTTGATATTGTTTTGCTGAAATATGCAAGGCCTACCCTGAAAATTAACTCTGGATGGGAACATACGACGTTCTAAACCCTGTTTATACTTTATGCAATAATTGTGCCTTTTCTATGAAGATAAATCAGTCAAAAGCTGTCGCACAAGTGTACCACTACACATTTGACTTTGCACCACACTTAAGTGTAGAACCACTAGGCTGAGGAACAGCTTCTACCCTGAAGCTGTTAGACACGAATCTCTAATCAAGATAATCACTGTGAAAAATCACATCATGTTGCTGCTGATCTGTTTCATGTTGCTGCTGATCTGTTTCATGTTGCTGCTGATCTGTTTCATGTTGCTGCTGATCTGTTTCATGTTGCTGCTGATCTGTTTCATGTTGCTGTGTTCATTCGTACTCATCTGCTCACACAGACTCATGTTCGTGCTGCTGTTCGGCGTATTGTTTTTTTACTACTAGTGCTTAGTGTATTTTTAGTTAACATTTTTCTTAGTTCATATCTTAGATCTCATTACTGTTTTCTTTTATATTTTATACTTTAGTTGGATGTAGCTGGGACCCTGTGTACACAATTTCATTCCACCACATGTACCACGTGGTGTGTATGACACATAAAGAACCTTGAATCCTTGAAACTTACAGACTGTCAAATACACGTGCACAAGCCACCAGCTGTGGACGGATCAGTCAACATGAGTGCACGGATCAGCTGCCTGTGAATGTGACTTGAATGTGAATGAGAATTTCTTAAAGGGATCCATGATTAGTTGAACATGTTGGCCTAAATATGTTGTAATTTTCCGATTAACTTAAAAAATTGTTTGTGATATGTAAAAATGTGGGGGGTGGCTGTGGCTGAGTGGTTAGAGCAGTCGTCCTCCAATGCGAGAGTAGAATAGAAACAGTCTTTATTGTCCCACGGATGGGAAATTCCAGTGTATCAGCAGCAACAGATAAAAAGATTTAAAGATTTCACACAAGTTCCTAAAATGTTAATAAACAATACAATATATAAGATAAACAATATCAATATAATATAATATAAATAAATATATATATATATATGAACATGAAAAATAGTGAGGTACCGACTTCCATTTTGGTGTGTGGCTGCATCTAGGCACAAGACATGTTCTTTTAGAAAATTAGGTTGCCTAGTCAAAATCAAAGATGGCCACCACCATATATTTATATAAACTGGCCCCCTATAAAGCTATGCTTTCTAGTATTTATATTGTCTAAAAGTTTCCTCAAAGGACTGAAGTGGCCAAAGATTACTCTATGGTGATGGCCACCCTGGCAGTCGTCCTCCAGTGCAAGAGTTGGGGGTTTGATTCCACCAGCAGTCACATGCTGAAGTGTCCCTGGGCAAGACACTGAACCCCTCATTGCCTCCGATGTGTGTCCCTCAGTGTATGAATGTTGAATGGTGGCGCAGAGGTTAGAGAAGATGGGCCTGTGATCGAAAAGTCGCAGGTTCAACTCCCGGTGCCGTCAACATCAAAATGTGGGTGGAAAAAGTGAAACGCCCACACCTGCCTCCACCGTCATTTGCCTCACTCTGGGCCCCTGAGCAAGGCCCTTAACTTCCACCATCTACTTCCAAAAACAGGTCTCTCTTGAAAATGAGTTCTCGTGACTCAATGAGACTACCTGTATAAATAAAGGGTAAATGGAAAAAATGAATGTGATAAAGCTCTGGTTATTCTTTGTAGAGATCTAGTAGAGTGCTGCATGAATGGATAACTGAGGCGCAGATTGTGTTGCAAAGCGCTTTCAGTATCTTGATAAGATAGAAAGGTGCACGGATGAACTCAGTTTGGCCCACCAGTGGGTTCATTTTTAAATAAAACTAGATTTTAAACCATAAAACAATACCGGCTGGATGTCCGGCCCCTGAGCTGCTGGCTTTCAGTAACTGTGGCCCCCTGAGCAGTTTAGTTGACCAGTCCTGCATTAAGATTTACTTACATCGCCTGATCAATTCCAGTCCAGAAAAACACTCATCTAGTAAACATCAAATACTCAGTATTTAAATCCCTCAGATACGGGGGACATCCGTGTGCCGTTTGTTATACACAGTCCATTTACTGATCTGTTACCAACGAACCCAATTAGTTGCAAAATGCTCTTCCAGTTCTTCCCTCTGTGAATAGCAAGCGGCCATCAGGGCACTAACAATCGGTTGTTAGACTGATGGTCCTCCTTGATCATGTGAACAGCTAGTTCTGGATGTCAACAATAAACTGGTTGATCCACTATAAGAAGGTGCTATTTATAAGACTGAGTTTGTTGCAGCTCCTCAGACTGAAGAAGTCTTTTGGACAAAAGATGAAACGTGTCAAGAAGAAGAATCTGTCCAGAGGACCTGACTCAACTTTGTTAGATTTATCTACCTGGATTATTGAGCACCATCAGGATGCACTTCCAGTTGTTTCTTATTCATACTTCATACTTTTACAGCTTCTTTTTGCCATTGTCCTTCTACCACCAAATTATAACAATTTGTTTTTCCACAATGTGGTAGACTTTTTAAAATTTAAACGTTTATGTTTACCGTGTTCCGTTGTAAATAAATGATTTTATGAGATTGGAATAAAGTTCTCATCTTGTCTTGCAAAATATTTCATGTAGCCCATCCCAACATTTTTGGAATTGGGGTTTGTTGTTAAATAAAGCCTGGATTGTTTAAAACTCATAAATGGTGTGTGTGTGTTTCAGAAAGTGCTGAGCGTGGCCAGGTTCAGGTCGATCCACCACAGTCCTGTATGGAGGAGTCCTTTGATACCGATTGTTGTGGAGCAGACGGTGAGACTGAACCTGTTCCTTTTTCTTGTCTACCATTTACAAAACTTTACCTTGATGAACAAAATATAAAGTTAGGTTTTTTTTGTTTTCTTACCGTCGTTATGTCCAGAATAAAAACAAATGTCAGAGCCTTGGCTCAAAGCGTGCAGAGATCTAAATAAATTCTTTCTGCAGGTTTTCTGTTCACCTCAACATGAAAATGGTTTTATTTTGTCCCACTGCCAAACCTTCAAGTTTTTGTCAGTGTTTGTAGAGCATGTTTGCTGTCTGTTAGCAAAATATCTCCTAAAACCCTGGACATATTTTATTAAAACCTTCAGGAATTATTCAACATGTCTGCCACAACCAGCTCACCATAGAGAGCACAAAATGAAGTCAAGTTTACAGACGATGAGCCAAACTCTGGTGTGTTTGTAGCTGACAGTCAATCACAGCACATCCCTCAGGTGCTACTTATTACAAAGGTCTGCTTAAAACCTTCATCTTCACTATGAAAGTCAACCTTGTTTGTCTGTTAGCTAAATATTTATGAACCAGAGGACGGATTTTAATGAAACTCCCAGACAGTAACCGTTGGTTGTGGATTTAAAACTGATTAACTTTTGGAGTTACAGTAGTCCCTCGTTTATCGCAGGGGACCCGTACCCCGAAGCCCCGCAATAAGTGAAAAACCATGAAGTAGGGATAGTAGTACAAGTAGTATTTCATTCATTTTAGTATTTGTATATATGTATGTGTGTGTGTGTATATATATATATATATATACACACACTACATTGCCAGAAGTATTTGCTCACCCATCCAAATGATCGGAATCAGGTGTTCCAATCACTTCTACGGCCACAGGTGTATAAAAAGAAGCACCTCGGCATGCAGACTCTTTTTACAAATATTTGTAAAAGAATGGGTTGTTCTCAGGAGCTCAGTGAATTCCAGCATGGAACTGATAGGATGCCACCTATGCCACAAATCCAGTCATGAAATTTCCTCTCCTAAATATTCCACAGTCAGCTGTATTATAAGAAAATGGAAGTGTTTGGGATTGACAGCAACTCAGTCACAAAGTGGTAGGCCACGTAAACTGATGGAGCAGGGTCAGCGGATGCTGAAGTGCATAGTGCGAAGAGGTCGCCAACTTTCTGCAGAGTCAATCACTACAGACCTCCAAACTTCATGGGGCCTTCAGATTAGCTCAAGAACAGTGCACAGAGAGCTTCATGGAATGGGTTTCCATGGTGGAGCAGCTGCATCCAAGCCATGCATCACCAAGTGCAATGCAAAGCGTCGGATGCAGTGGTGTAAAGCACGCCGCCACTGGACTCTAGAGCAGTGGAGGCACGTTCTCTGGAGTGACGAATCGTGCTTCTCCATCTGGCAATCTGATGAACGAGTCTGGGTTTGGCGGTTGCCATGAGAACGGTACTTGTCTGACTGCATTGTGCCAAGTGTAAAGTTTGGTGGAGGGGGGGATTAAGGTGTGGGGTTGTTTTTCAGGAGCTGGGCTTGGCCCCTTAGTTCCAGTGAAAGGAACTCTTGACTGCTTCAGCATACCAAGACATTTTGGACAATTCCATGTTCCAACTTTGTGGGAAAAGTTTGGAGCTGGCCCCTTCCTCTTCCCAACATGACTGTGCCCCAGTGCACAAAGCAAGGTCCATAAAGACATGCATAGTAGAGTCTGGTGTGGATGAACTTGACTGGTCTGCACAGAGTCCTGACCTCAACCCGATGGAACACCTTTGGGATGAATTAGAGTGGAGACTGAGAGCCAGGCCTTCTCGTCCAACATCAGCATGTGACCTCACAAATACACTTCTGGATGAATGGTCAAAAATCCCATAAACACACTCCTAAACCTTGTGGCCAGTCTTCAAGAAGAGTTGAAGCTGTTCTAGCTGCAAAGGGTGGACCAACGTCGTACTGAACCCCATGGATTAGGAATGGGATGTCACTTAAGCTCATATGTGAGTCAAGGCAGGTGAGCGAATACTTCTGGCAATATAGTGTGTGTGTGTGTGTGTGTTTGTGTGTGTGTATATACACATTAGGGCTGCAACTAACGATTATTTCAATAATCGATTCATCGGCCGATTATTTTTTCGATTAATCGATGAATCGGCAAAAAAACCCCAACGTTTTAATTTCCACCCCTTTATTCCAAAATTGAACATTTGACTGACATAGCAATTCACACAAAAACAGGTTGCTGTTTGACTATTCTGTTAGTAAAATATTGAATAATTAAAAATAAAAGTTAGTCAAATAGCTTAAAAAAATAAATGTACACAAATATATATACAAATGTATCTTTATACCTGCACAATATGTAGCTACTTTGTAAAATGTGTCCTTGAGGGAAGAGTGTAACCTGGATTAAAAGTGTGGATTATTGTAACCTGGATTAAAAGTGTGGATTATTGTAACCTGGATTCAAAGTGTGGATTATTGTAACCTGGATTAAAAGTGTGGATTATTGTAACTTGGATTAAAAGTGTGGATTATTGTAGTGAAGCCTTCGTCTTCAACCATCGACAGAGGCCTCATGTCAGTGATGATCATGTTCAGGATGTTTCAGTGAAGACAGCTGCTGCTGTGGTGTCCATGGTGTCTGTCCATCATGAAGTGTTGTTGTTTGTTGTTGTTTGTTGTTGTTTTCTGGAATGAGAGTAAATATGTTTTATAGCATAATTTACAGCAACTCAAGAAATGCCTTGTTTCACTAACTGTGTTAGGTTCAGGCAAAAGTAGCTAAAAGAGCAATTAAACACACACACACACATATATAAAATACTTAATTACACACATTTGAGTAGATGTAATAAATTACTTTAATTCCTGTTTAAATGCAATTCATCCTGCCATACCTGCAGTGTCTTCAGACTTTGCCAGCAAATTAAAAGTTGAAGCTTAATCATTAAATTATTATCTTTGTGTTAGATTTATTTATAAATCACATTTAAACACTGCTTGTACCAATTAAATTAAATAAAAAGTAACACGCGTTCTCTATCACCGTCATTAATTAATCAGATAACAAACAAACAAACAAACAGCAGCTTCATCTACCAGAGAGACTGACGTTACGTTTTCTCTCTTGGAAACAGAACAATGTGTTAAATTGTAGAGACTCACCTGCAACACATGATGAGTTGTATCAGCTGCAGCTCCTTCCTCCTCCTCGTGAATCCGACATGTTTACGTTCATCTCCGTGGTTCTCCCGTGTCATGTCGGCGATTTTCAAAGCTGCATGTTCCTCATTTTTAATCTTTGTGAAGTTCTCCCACACTTTGGAGGACTTGGGTCGAACAGTTTTCGCTGCGTCGGTCATTTGTAAAATTTACTTAAATTTCCTTTAAAAACAGCCTCTGCTCTGCTTCCTCCTCCCCCCTCGCTCTGTTCAACTCGTGCTGCATTTTTTTTTCAAACTTTATTCAGTCAGTCAACATTGACAATGAACTGCCAGTGAACAAAACGAAACGGCTCCGCAGCGCCATGAAAGACGCATAATCGCGCGACACAACGAATCGATAATGAAATTCGTTGCCAACGCTTTTAATCATCGATTTTTATCGATTTTATCGATTCGTTGTTGCAGCCCTAATACACATACACACATATATATATATATATATAATATATATATATACAGGTCCTTCTCAAAAAATTAGCATATTGTGATAAAGGTCATTATTTTCCATAATGTAATGATAAAAATGAAACTTTCATATATTTCAGATTCATTGCACACCAACTGAAATATTTCAGGTCTTTAATTGTTTTAATACTGATGATTATGGCATACAGCTCATGAAAACCCAAAATGCCTGTCCCAAAAAATTAGCATATCATGAAAAGGTTCTCTAAACAAGCTATTAACCTAACCATCTGAATCAACGACGTAACTCTAAACACCTGCAAAAGATTCATGAGGCTTTTAAAAACTCCCAGCCTTGTTCATTACTCAAAACCGCAATCATGGGTAAGACTGCCGACCTCACTGCTGTCCAGAAGGCCATCATTGACACCCTCAAGCAAGAGGGTAAGACACAGAAAGAAATTGCTGAACGAATAGGCTGTTCCCAGAGTGCTGTATCAAGGCACCTCAGTGGGAAGTCTGTTGGAAGGGAAAAGTGTGGCAGAAAACGCTGCACAACGAGAAGAGGTGACCGGACCCTGAGGAGGATTGTGGAGAAGGGCCAATTCCAGACCTTGGGGGACCTGCGGAAGCAGTGGACTGAGTCTGGAGTAGAAACAGCCAGAGCCACCGTGCACAGGCGTGTGCAGGAAATGGGCTACAGGTGCCGCAATCCCCAGGTCAAGCCACTTTTGAACCAGAAACGGCGGCAGAAGCGCCTGACCTGGGCTACAGAGAAGCAGCACTGGACTGTTGCTCAGTAGTCCAAAGTACTTTTTTCGGATGAAAGCAAATTTTGCATGTCATTCGGAAATCAAGGTGCCAGAGTCTGGAGGAAGACTGGGGAGAAGGAAATGCCAAAATGCCTTTTAAACATGCTGCTGTCCAGCCTCTTCTGAAAAAACCCAACCTTGACCCCTCAGTCATGTCCAAATTCCGGCCTGTCTCCAGGCTCCCGTTCACCTCTAAACTACTGGAAAAAATAGTTGAGTCTCAGTTGAAGTGCTTCTTGGAGGATCACAATATCCAAGAGTTATTCCAGTCTGGCTTCAAATCTCTCCACAGCTCAGAAACTGCTCTACTGAGGGTTTTTAACGACATTTTCCTAGCCACTGATGCAGGTGATTCTGTGCTGCTTGTCCTATTGGACCTTACATCTGCTTTCGACACCATAGACCATGGGATCCTCATTTCTAGACTAGAGCAGTGGGTGGGCATCACAGGGTCTGCCCTCAATTGGTTTAGGTCCCACCTCTCTGATGGAAACTTTTGTGTCAGTATCAAAGATTTTAGTTCTGTATCGACAGCACTTCAGTGGGGGGTATCGCAGGGGTCCATCCTCGGTCCCCTTCTCTTTTCTTTATACCTGCTGCCACTAGGTGCTATTTTCCGTAATCACAACATACCCTTTCATTTCTATGCCGATGACTGTCAAATTTACTTCCCCCCTGAAGCACAGAGGCACACGCTCTATTCAACCTCTTCTTGACTGCCTGGCTGACATCCGGGACTGGATGGCTTTAAACTTCTTAAGTTTCAATGAGAAGAAGTCTGAAGTTATCTTGTTCCATCCCAATGGCACGTCCATGAACCACTGCATTGACCTTTCCTCTCTAGCTCTGTTTGAGAAACAAAGAGTCACCAATTTGGGGTTGATAATGGACCCTTTCTTAAAACTTAACAGTCATGTAAACATGATTGTTAAATCCTGTTTTTTTTCAGCTGAGGCAGCTGTCTAAGTTGAAGCCCATATTGTCCAAAAATAATCTTGAGACAGTGATCCATGCATTCATAACATCCAGGCTCGATTACTGCAATGCGCTTCTGTTTGGAATCAATCAATCTTCCATTGCTCGTCTACAATTGGTCCAAAATGCTGCAGCCCGATTTTAAACTGGTACAGGCCATAGAGAGCACATTACTCCAGTTTTGGCCTCCCTGCACTGGCTACCCATCCACCTTCGGATCCAGTTCAAAATCCTCATGTCTGTTTTTAAATCACTGAACAGTTCTGCCCCATCGTATCTCACTGATCTTCTACAGCCATATGTCTCACCGCACTCTCTGAGGTCAGCAGACCAGATGCTCCTTTCAGTTCCAGAAACCCGTCGCAAGCTCAGAGGTGACAGGGCTTTCTCTGTTGCAGGTCTAAGACTGTGGAATGAGTTGCCACTGCGTGTCAGGCAGGCTCCCACAGTCTCACCTGAAAACCAACTTTTATTCCCTTGCTTTTGACATGGTGGGATTTATTTTGATCCTGTCTGTAGTCTACAGTGTTGGCCATTTAGTTATTATCCACTGCTATTTGTATCTATATTTTTATTTTATGTTTTCCTGTCCGCTGTGCTTGTTTGTTTCTTTTGTACAGCACTTTGGTTGGCCTTGTTGCTGTTTTAAGTGCAAGTGCTCTGTAAATAAATTGGTATGGTATGGTATCTCCCGGATGTGTCTGAATGTGGTGGTTTTTGAAGCTGTGACTCCCGCCTCATTCCACTCTTTCTGGATCTCTGCCAGATTCTGGAATCTTCTTTGTTTGATAATCCACTGAAGCCCACGGTCATCTCTTTTGCTGGTGCATCTTCTCCTGCCACATTTTGCCCTTCCACTAGACTTTCCATTGATATGCTTGGATACAGCACTCTATGAACAGCCAGCCTCCTTAGCTATGAACTTTTGTGGCTTATCCATCTATGGAGGGTATCAATGATGGTCTTCTAGCCAGTTGTTATGTCTGCAGTCTTCCCCATATTGAACCGAACTGAGACAATTTAATGACACCTGGGGAGACCTGTGCAGGTGCTTTGAGTTTAGTAGATGATTAGTGTGTCATACTCAGTTTAAAACATTCATGCCCTGCAACATTTGGGCTGATTTCTTCACAGTATTTAAATTATTTGAAATCCTGTTTGTGTGGGTTTCATTAGCTGGAAGCTCAAATTATGTAAAAATAAACAAATAAATGCTTGAAATTGTTTAAATGTGGGCCCTGAATCTATCATCTATAAAAGATTAACTTTTTGAATGAAGTTAAACAACTTTTCCATGATATTCTTATTTTTTGGAAAGGGTCTGTACTTCGTGACCCGAGTACCCAAGCCAGGGTAAGGTGGCCCAACATGCTGTTGGTCAAGGAATGCATATCCCTTGAGACCTTTATTGATCAACTAAAAATAATAACATTTCAGATTTGTTCTTCGTCTAGGGGAGAGGAGAACGTGCATATGACATCTACTCTCGCCTGCTGAGAGAGAGAATCATCTGTGTCATGGGTCCTGTAAGTGTTTCTATATTTACTGACCGTCACTACAAACATAAAATAATTCTGAATAACCTCTCCTGTCTTGTCTGTTCAGATTGATGATTCTGTAGCCAGTCTGGTTATTGCCCAGCTGCTCTTTCTGCAGTCAGAAAGCAACAACAAACCCATCCACATGTACATCAACAGTCCTGGTAAGGCACTCCCTCACTGAACACTTGAAACATTCAGGAGAGACGTTTAATTTGCAGGAAGTGAAAGACTGAAGGGATTGACAAATGTTTGAAAACACCTCAAAAATGTTGGTCATCCTGTTTCCCAGAGATTACAAAACAAACATAAAAGAAAACAGCATTTTCTGGCAAATGCAGTGTGAATGCAGAGTGCTGAAATCTGGTAAACAAGCTGAAACTGAACTGTTGGTTAAAACCATCTGAACAATAACTTTATCTCCCAGTTGTTCAACCTGTGCGGTACTGCCTCCCTTTCATTCACACATGTATTCTGTCTTACTACAGCTGACTTCCACCTGTTCCCTGTTCTCACCACAGAACACAATGTCATCTGCAAACATCATAGTCCATGGGGATTCCTGCCTGACCTCCTCTGTTAGTCGGTCCATCACCAGAGCAAACAAGAAGGAGCTCAGAGCTGATCCTTGATGCACTCCCACCTCCACCTTGAAGCTATCTGTCACTCCTACAGCACATCTCACCACTGTCCTGCTGTCCTCATACATGTCCTGTACCAGTCTAACATACTTCTCTGCCACTCCAGATTTCCTCATACACCTCCTCCCTCGGCACCCTGTCACATGCTTTTTCTAAATCCACAAAGACACAGTGGAGTTCTTTCTGACCCTCTCTGTACTTCTCCGTCAGCATCCTCAAAGTGAAGATGCATCTGTGGTGCTCTTTCTTGGCATGAAACCATACTGCTGCTCACAGACAGTCACCTCTCGTTTAAGTCTAGCTTCCACAACTCTCTCTCAGATCTTCATCGTGTGGCTCATCAACTTAATTCCCCTGTAGTTGCTACAACTCTGTACATCACCCTTGTTCTTAAAAATGGCCACCAGCACACTTCTTCTCCATTCCTCAGGCATTTTCTCACCTTCAACCATGACATTGAATATTTGAGTCAAAAACCTCACTGCCATCTCTCCAAGACATTTCCAAACCTCCACTAGTATGTCATCAGATCCTAATGCCTTCCCCTTCTTCATTCTTTTCAAAGCTTTCTGGACTTCACCTTCACTAATCTAATTATTGAGCATGGACTTTGTTGTTCCTGGTCCACAGTTTCTATGACATCTACTCTTCTTTCTCTTTCATTCTCTGCATTCATTAGCTCCTCAAAGTACTCTTTCCATCTTCCCGTCACTCTTCTCACTTGTTAGAACATTACCATTCCTGTCTTTAACAAGCAAAACCTGCTTTTCAGCCTATCTCTTGGTCTCGCCAGTCAATACAAGACCTCCTCAACATCCACTCCAGCCTCTTGTACATCTCATCATACGCCTTCAGATAAATGAATAGTTGAAAGCAAGCGGAAGTACCGTAATTTCCAGTCTATAAGCTGCTACTTTTTTCACACGCTTTGAACATCGCAGCTTATCCATTGCTGCAACTAATTTATGGATTTTTTTGATGGGCTAATGAGCTGCATGCCGCCAAAGCATATAGCCTTGTCACACCCGGGTGCTCACATAGCTGCACAATACACGCCTCTCATGGGGGTGGGTCCTCGTGACTCAATGAGACTACCTGTATAAATAAAGGTAAAAAAAAAAAAAAATCTGACCAATGAAATTATCGACCAGATCACAATGGGTCTGGGGAGTTCACTCCCTGTTTTTTCCTTCCCTTGGGCTAATTTTGGCTACTCAAAATAAGGCCCTATTTACACGGACATGGTTGGGGGAGACATAGACATTTTTTCGTATGTTAATTTGAGGAAAAGATCAGCGTTGACACAAACAGATTTTGTGTTTACATGCACCCGCAGGAAAAATCCCGCCCCCCTGAATCTGCTGTAGTTACCATGCCTAGGGCTGGGTACCTTTCTAAAAAAAAATCAGTACCGGTGTCGGTACCTTCACTTCGGTGTCGGTTCCTGGATGGTTCTTTTTTTGGTACCAATTTTGTAATTACTATTAATTCTAACAAGAATAAAATTAAGTTACACATTACAGTACAAATTGTGAGTTTTATTTTTTTACTTTGGTATTTCTATTCCAAGCAGTTTTCTTACATAAAAATAAACAAATAATTTCAAGTCAAAAGACCAGTTGCAAACAATAAGTGACACGTCAGACTTCTGCACCTCTGTGTCTCTTCCTGAATCTTCTCGGTGATTCTCTAGTTTAGGGCTCTTATCATCTCCCTAATTGACATTAGAACACAAAACATCAACAATAACATGGTTGTGTTATTATTGCTCAAAAACATTATCTAGGCTGAGAAATAAATGGTCAACAATATCCTTTAAAGTTTACTTACCTCCACCATGCAGTCTCCACTGTAGAAAAAGGCAGCAAACTTTTAACAACAAAGTTTGTGACTGTCCTGTGGCCCCCATCTCGCTTTTCTTTAGTCTGCCTCTGTCCTCACATCAGGGTCAGAGGCTCCTGTGAGAAGAACATAAACAAACGGTGAACATTAGTTGAACTGTTTACAAGCTAAGCTTAATCTGTTACTGTCAATCCTTAGCTTCTGAGTTTAGCTAGCTACATAGTGTTGGATATTTTTATCTAGACTGGTCCTATGGTTTTGATTTGCTCAGAGACGGGATTATAATGAAATTATGGCGCGGTTCTGACTGGGTTAAACTGGGCCAGCAACTCTAAAAAGAGTCACCCTGGGATTCAATATCTGTCAAGGAATAGAGTTTAATCTGCTTGCCACGTCATGTAGAAGGGCTTTTGAAGCACTGTCTCATATTTCCTAACACATCAGAACCACATAAGATCCACTGAGATCACACTTAATCACAACCCCTCATACACTGACAGGTTGAGCTCCCCTTCTGCGAAGGAGGAGTCTAGGACCCCATAAATGAGTAATGACACGGGACATCGGGGCTCTTCAGGTTTTGTGAGCGCGTCACAGACCAGAGAGACTAGCGCTGTGAATTGTAACCTTTTCCTGCCTTGATTTTAATATAATTTATAAAACTTAATTGATGTTTCCTTGATTTATTGATAATGAAAGTTGCCACTTCTGAGGGAGATTCGAGCCGGGGGGAGAGACGTGGGCTGGAGGGGGTTTCCGTGTCCGGTGACCCCGCAGCCAGCTCCCGTCTTTAACAGTAGATAAAATAAATTTACACACTAATATCTTAAAGTTAGTGTTACATGGATTCTAGTTTAATTCACAGCGATGTACGTGTTAAGCTGCAGTAATAATGAGAATTAATCTCAGATCCAGATTTTGGGTGTGTCATTAGTGAACACTTATAGACACATTGGTATTGTGCATTAACATTTGACTCAAGTTCGCCCCCTACATTATTCCAACAGTTATATCTCAGTGATGCATCATCCGATCGGAACCAAATTTTTTATGCATAATCAATGACCACATTGATTTTGTGGTTTAACATATGACTCAAGTGCGCCTCCTAGATTATTTCATTAGTTATATCTCAGTGATATAGCATCCGATCTACACCAGATTTTGGGTACGACATTAGTGAGCACTTCTAGACACACTGGTATTGTTGTTTAACTTTTGACTCAAGTGCACCCCCTAGAGTATTCCAACAGTTATATCTCAGTGATACATCATCCAATCTGAACTAGAATTTTTGTGCATAATCAGTGACCACGTCTAGACACATTGATATTGTTCTTTAACATTGGACGCAAGTGCGCCCCCTACATTATTCCAACAGTTGGATCTCAGTGATGCATCATCCAATCTGAACCTGAGTTTTTGTGCTTCATCAGTGAGCACTTGTATGCACATTGGTATTGTTGATTCATGTTATCACTTAAGCCCCACCTACTCAGAGAAAAAAACGGTCGATTATTGGATGACACTTCCAGCTTCACACTGTGTAAGATATTAGACTGAAACTTTGTTCGCTAACTGTTGATTACCACACATGACATGTTGAAAAGCATAAAGGAAGTGCTTGTCAAACATTCGCCACAAAACAGGAAGTCCCCATAACTCCTGTCTGGAAAGGTCAGATTTTGCCTATACTTGTACTTGTACAAGTAACGACATGGACGGAAGGCGATGTCGAAGATTCGGGAAATACGCGTTGTGGTGAACACGTACGGGATTGGCACGAGTGCATTCGCGATGGTGACTGGGTGGGCTAGCTGGAGCTCCCGCGGTCGCCGTAAGGCTGGAACGGTGCTTTGCTGCGAGGGCCTCCAATGCTGCTTGCTGCTTTAATTGAAGTCATCATTCTTCTTTTCTTTCTATTATTGTTTCATAGAAGTAGTGTTCTTAGCATTGGCTGAAGAAAAACGGGAGTCGAGCTCCGGTCCAGATACAATTTATAATGGACCAGGTGGGGCCCACACAGCAGGTGGGCGTGGACTAGAAGTTTTCAGTGTTCAGCGCGCTGCGTGCGGGTAAACCCAATAGCGACAGCTTTTAAAGGGCGTAGCATACACAAAATAGAACATAGCACATCTGATTACCTGCAGGCATTCTGCTTATGTTGCAAATGCCTGCCCCCCAATAGGGGTGGGGAGTTGGGAGCCAAGAGCACCCAGCCTTGTCAAAAGTAAATCATAGCCAGTGGCAGGAAACTGTTGAGAAACAACGGGATGTTTTTCAAAATAAAATAAAAAAATATATAGATTTTGAAAAACATGAAATAAATCCATAAATAAGACACTTCTGCATATAAACTGCAGGATACAAAGTGTGAGACAAAAGTAGCGGCATATACATGGACAATTACGGTAAATGTTTAACTTTTTTCTTAGTGTAGACTGAATGTTGGAAACATTGAAAATATAACAGATGTTGGCAGCAGCTGCATCAGCATGCTGTCTTTTAATTGTTTTTCTGTTTAGAAGGTGGTGCTTTTTATTTATGGATAAACTAATTCTCCATGTTTCTGAAACTTGTGCTGCACTCTCCTTCATTTAGGCGGTGTAGTAACAGCAGGCCTAGCCATTTATGACACGATGCAGTACATCCTTAATCCCATCTCTACCTGGTGCGTGGGCCAGGCAGCCAGCATGGGCAGCCTGCTCCTTGCAGCAGGTACAACAGGCATGAGGCATTCACTGCCCAACGCTCGCATCATGGTACACCAGCCTTCAGGTGGTGCCAGGGTAAGTAGACCTTTTAAGACATGTCCAGAGTGAAAAACAACACCGAAGTGTAAAACACAAACTTTTTGCATCCAGGGTCAGGCCACAGACATCGCCATCCAGGCTGAGGAAATTTTGAAGTTAAAAAAACAGATCAACAACATCTACGCAAAACACACAGGGCAGTTGCTGGAAACTATTGGTGAGTTTCTGCAGCTCTTTATTCTCTGTCCTCTGTTCACAGCTATAGAAACAGGTTTCAGATTGGGGGGCGCTTTAAGCATGTTTGACTTTGGGACTCTAAACACCAAAAGACTAAAAAGCATATATACAGTGCCTTGCGAAAGTATTCGACCCACTTGAACTTTTCAACCTTTTGCCACATTTCAGGCTTCAAACATAAAGATAAAATTTAAATTTTTTGTGAAGAATCAACAACAAGTGGGACACAATCGTGAAGTGGAATGAAATTTATTGGATGTGTCAAACTTTTTTAACTAATAAAAAACTGAAAAGTGGGACGTGCAATATTATTGGGCCCCTTTACTTTCAGTGCAGCAAACTCACTCCAGAAGTTCAGTGAGGATCTATGAATGATCCAATGTTGTCCCAAATGACTGATGATGATCAATAGAATCCACCTGTGTGTAATCAAGTCCGTATAAATGCACCTGCTCTGTGATAATCTCAGGGTTCTGTTCAAAGCGCAGAGAGCATCATGAAGACCAAGGAACACACCAGGCAGGTCCGAGATACTGTTGTGGAGATGTTTAAAGCCAGATTTGGATACAACAAGATTTCCCAAGCTTTAAACATCCCAAGGAGCACTGTGCAAGCAATCATATTGAAATGGAAGGAGCATCAGACCACTGCAAATCTACCAAGACCCGGCCGTCCCTCTAAACTTTCATCTGGAACAAGGAGAAGACTGATCAGAGATGCAGCCAAGAGGCCCATGATCACTCTGGATGAACTGCAGAGATCTACAGCTGAGGTGGGAGAGTCTGTCCATAGGACAACAATCAGTACACTGCACAAATCTGGCCTTTATGGAAGAGTGGCAAGAAGAAAGCCATTTCTCAAAGATATCCATAAAAAGTGTTGTTTAAAGTTTGCCACAAGCACCTGGGAGACACCAAACATGTGGAAGAAGGTGCTCTGGTCAGATGAAACCAAAATCGAACTGTTTGGCCACAATGAAAAACGATATGTTTGGCGTAAAAGCAACACAGCTCATCACCCTGAACACACCATCCCTACTGTCAAACATGGTGGTGGCAGCATCATGGTTTGGGCCTGCTTTTTGTCAGCAAGGACAGGGAAGTGGTCAGAATTGATGGGAAGATGGATGGGGCCAAATACAGGACCATTCTGGAAGAAAACCTGTTTGAGTTTGCAAGAGAACCCAAGAGACCAATCAGAGTCCTGCAATCACGTTTGGTCCGTACTCAGCTCGGTTGAGCTCGCTTGGTCCCACCAGAGAAGCAGGGATGAAAAGAGGTCCTGAATCAGCCTCAAATCAGCTAAAACTACTAGCTAAAGGGCTGGTGCAAAAGGGTTCTTTCTGTGGCGGGCTGCCCAGAGTTGGGGCTGATTAGGGGCAGTGCAAAAGGGGCATACGTTTCTCAGCTGGCCTGGGAACGCCTTGGGATTCCCCCAGAGGAGCTGGCCCAAGTGGCTGGGGAGAGGGAAGTCTGGGCCTCCCTACTTAAGCTGCCCCGCGACCCGACCCCGGATAAGCAGAAGAAAATGGATGGATGGATATTCATCAGTTATTACAGATTGGGAGGGCGATGCATGAAAATGATCAGAGAGCCCTTTGGCTTCTCAACAATGAGCAACGCTGAAATAAAACATGTTTTCAGGTGTGAAAAACATTGTCTGATACTGGTACTGTGAGCAGACATGTTGGCACACATCACATCAGAACACTGTAACAGTGATCAGAAGTATTAGCACCAAAACTAGAAGAACATCTTCCAAAGCATGCCGTTGCCAACAATGTTAGTTTGTAGTTTCACAACATGAAAACAAGATTTCCTGTAGTGAAACTACAACAGTGAGATTTGGAAAGTTCTTCACCACAAAGATAAATCAGAGTAAATTTTTAAAGCTAACAGAGCTGAGATTCACTACAAGCTTCACAGGATCTGTAATTAATGGTTCTGAAACAATGAACTGGAAACCGGATTGATTTTCAACTGTAATGAATATTCACATTCATGCTCAATAATCCAGGTAGACAAATCCAGCAAAGTTAAGTTGGATCCTCTGGACGGTTTCTTTTAGTTGAAACGTTTCGTCTTTTAGCTACAAGACTTGATCAGCCCAAGGAGCTGAAACAAACTCAGTCTTAAAACTCTGTAATGGATATTATTGTTCCCCATTGCGGAGTGAAGAGGGGGAATTGGAAGTACCCTTCATCTGTCTGTCCATGCATGCTGTGAGCAGGATAACTTCAATTCAGTTCAATTTATTTATATAGCCCCAAGTCACAACAGAAGTCGTCTCAGAGCACTGAACACAAATATTCATATATAAAAATAACAATTTAACACTATTTATCTGAAGAGCAGACTGAGTTGAACTCCATCACAGACTCTCATCTTGAGCAAGCATGAAGGCGACAGTGGAAAGGAAAAAGTCCCTCATGAGGAAGAAACCTTTAGCAGAACCAGGTTCAGGACAAATAAACTGGAAAAATAGGTGAGGTACCAACTTTCATTTTGGTTTGTGGCTGCATCTAGGTGGAAGAAAGGTTCCTTTTGTGAATTGGGTTACCACGTCGAAATCCATATGTAAACCAGTCACCTCTGTCATTTGAAGAAACTATGCCCAAGGACCAGATTGAACTTTTTTGGATTTTTCTACCTGGATTATTGAGCATGCATCAGGATATGCCGGCTAGTTTTTATATTCCTTAAAAGTAAAGTTTCTTCAAAATGATTGGGGTGGCAGAAGATTAATCTACTCCATTTCCAACACCCCCATGCTCCCCCTGCTTGCCAGCATTTTGGATCAACTGAAGACGTTTTAAAGAAGTATTTGGACACCCAGATAATAAACCATTGCAATAGTCCAGTCTAGACGTGACAAATGCATGGACCAGTTTTTCTGCATCATTTTTAGATGAGATGTTTCTAATTTTAGTGATATTATGCAGGTGGAAGGAGGTTCTAGTAACGTTTTTAATGTGGGGGATAAAAGACATGTCCTGATCAAAAATAACACCAAGATTTTTAACATTAGAGCTGGAGGACAGATT